TAGGGGGAAAATACATATGTATACATATATGTATATGAAACTAGAAATGGAAAATGACTGACGGTAGCATGCATGATTAAGCCACTGTGCGGTGTATTCTGGATGGGAAATCCCGTTCTGCGTGCTGTGTCAATGCTCAAGTGAATGAATGTAAATTAATTAATTAAAAAAAAAAAGTATTTTAAATGCAATTGCTGACACACTGGGGCTGCCATTGCATTTATCATGTCGATTAAGTTTTTCTTTTCTTTTTTTTCTTTTAAAGCTTAAGCATGTATTCCTCATTAGAAACGTGCTTTGCCCACTGGCCTCCCCCCACGACTCTCCCCATGTCTCACACCCGGGAGGCAGGAAGGATGCCTTAGTCCCGGGAACCAGCGGCCAGTGGCTGTCTCAGTCCCCGGTGCCGCTGGCAGTGACGGTTAGGAAAGGGGAGAACGTTGGTCTCCCGGTGTCTCCAGGGTCACAGAACAATCGCGTGGTGGGAGAAGGAGAGGGCCCCCCAGCCACTGCTCGTGACCTCCCACTTGGGTCGTTGCTGTGCAGCCACCGGCCACGTGTGCGAACTTCCATCACGGGAATTAGCACCGTGCTGGGGACGCGGGGCTTCCCTGGGCCAGGCCGAGGATGTGTATTCCAGGCCCACAGCTGGCTGGCATCTGGGCCCTGCTGCAGGGACGGAGAGTGGAGGAGGGCTCTGTCAGCGCTAATGGATGCAGAGAAGCCCAGTGAGACGGTGTCTGCGCATCCCACGGTCACACAGAGCCCACATGCTGGACACCCACTGACACCCCACTCTGACAGTGACTGCTCCTTGGGGTGCACTGTATGTGGTCTTCTTCAGAAGCTTCGCTGGACATTCATCCAATTGTCTCTCTCTCTCTCTCTCTCACACACACACACACACACACACACACGGATACAAAGCCCCTTCTCATTTGAAAGAGTGAGTCTCAGAAACTGCAAACTGAGAAAATTACTTCATGCTTTTTTCTTTGGAATGTAAAAAGCCCCAATTAGGTCATAAACGGAGGAGGGCTGATGAGAGCGAGCAGTACAGAGGGGTATGGAGTGTCAGACTCAGGAACGACTCATAGATGTTACTTACACTGAGCCTGGCCAGACTCTTCCCTTAAAGACGACAGAATAAACCTCTTCCCTGAAAGTTAGTAGGAAGAAATGCCCATATGGAATAAACCTGGGACGCTGCGAACTCTAACCCACTCCTGGGAATTCACGAGGGTGCCGGCTTGTGACAGGTTCTGAGAATTCCTGTTAAGAAAAAAAAAAAAAAAAAAAAAAAAACCTCTCACTTCATTGCATGTTACCCTAATTCAAGGAATGATTTTTTTTTTCTCTGCATTCTTATCAATATCCTGTGGAGCTCCTAGAGTCCATCGTTTTCTGTAGGTTTCCTACACACTCGGAATTCTCAGACTCGCAGGCGAGGTACCCAGCCCTCGAGCACCCAGCACAGTGCCTGGCTGAGCAGGAAGTCTGCAACGCCTTGGGAGCGTGCCTAAGGCAGGGCCCTCAGCGCCCACTTGGGACAACAGGTCACACACGGGCACTGGGTCAGCTCATCAGGGAGGGATCCATCCTTCAGCAAGGGGACCTGACTGTCATTAGGCTGGAAATGAGTCAAGTTCAAGAACTGCCAAGGCTGTGGAATATGGAAAGGAACCCCCTTGCACGCCTATGGTGGCTGCTGGTTGGCGCTCTGCACGGGCTCCGAAGGCCCTTTTCATGGTCGCGCACCCGGACACGCCCTACCCATCAGCTCTGTCCGGGTGTTTACTCAGCAGTTACTCACATAGCTCCTTCTCCGTGTCAGCACTGAGGGAGACACTAGCGATGCCAGTAAATAAAAGTATAGAAACCCCCTCCCGGCCCCCATAGCATCACATCCTAGCCAGGAGGAGGCAGTCCACAAAGCACCGATGCTATAAACACGCCATTCTGCAGCAAGTTTGAGTCACAGGGTGCTCGGTACCGAAGAAACGGACCAGGAGGACGAGCGGAAGAGGGCTGCAATTTCACACCAGCAGTGGACATAGGGCTTCACAGACGGACGCTTGAGCAGTCTTGAAGGAGGTAAGGGAGGTGGTCTTCTGCGTACAGAGAGTGAGTGTCGGCCATAAAATGTAGCCAATACGAGGCAGCCGCCCATGGCCAGGAACCAGGGCCGGGCATGGCAGGGAGGACCGGGAGGAGAGTGGGAAACCGTCCCCATCCAGGTTGGCTTTGCCAGGCTTTGATTTCTGCTCTGCATGAAATAAGCTAGGGAACACTTCTGTGAGTAGAAAAATGTGCTTCTCTGGCTTCCGTTTTTAAAGGACCTGGACGTTGGTCTCTGGTCCCAGGCCGGGCCGCAGGCTTGAGCCAGATCTATGAAGGTGAAGCATTGGCGTCCTTGCCCTCGGGTGCTCAGGACCTCTGGGCCTCTCCTGGCGCGTTGCAGGTCAGCATGGGAGCCTGTTGCCCCGGCCCTTCGGATGACCACGTTCTCGACGTCCAGTGTCGCCCTGTCATGCCAGAGCAGGAAACCCTTGTGTCAGGCCTGTCCAGATGTTCAGGTGTCCTGGCCTGCTCTGAGCACAGCCGGCCCGTGGTGGGACCTTAGTCCCCGCTTTGCTTGGCGTCTCCACCTGTTTACACAGTTCTCTGCAGAAGTATGTTTTTTAGGTCTGATGAGATAACCAGCGCAGAGAGCTGGAGGGTGTAATGGAAAACCGACGATTTTAATTTTCCCTCAAATTATCATACTCTAAAATAAATAGAGTTGAGTAGATTCTCCAGTTCTTCATTCTGGCAGCTCTGCCTCAGCTGAAGACGGTCTACAAGTTGGCAGGCCAGAAGCGAAGAGAAAATTATCTTAGTTCCTGGAGATAAAACCTGCTAGTTATCAACAACTGAAATTCAGAGAGAGGGTCTTCTGGGGAAAAGCCATTTGCTGCAGCAATCTCCTTTTAGAATTCGAGCTTGCTTGCTTCCTGCTAACTTCTTTCTGTTGAGGAAGGATGTGAAAAGTCACATTTAATTTCAGACTCCAACATAATTCTAACTGATCGGACTTGGCTGGCTTACCTCACCCGTCAGTCATCAATAGATACCGAAAAGACAGAAAGCTCCATTCGGTTGAAATGGAAAATAAAATGACAGATTTCAAGGTACACTGTCCAGCAAACCAGACTGTATTTGCCTTCACTGTGCATGTGCGGCCGTTATGAAAAGCCACGCCATTTTATCAAATTCGTATGATGTAATCTCCCCGAACTGGGGAAATCTGGGACGTGGCCGGTGACCGGGAGAGGAGAAACATGATCCAACGGCGCTTTAGCCCACAGTCCGCGCTGCGGCTAAGCAGTTCCAGATGTTTTCCTCTTGTCTTCATTTAATGGCTCCTCTAAACACAATGCCTCAGTACCAGCAAGGCGGCAAAATTTACAACATACTAATTAATAGCAAGTTGCTTAGCTAAGCAATTCTGTCTCTGGGTATGTAATTCTATTTTTAGAGCTTTCATTCTTTTTTCTCTTACCTTTCTTCTGCCAGCCTTTACTGGGGGAGTACAGGCGATTTAAGAACACAAACTCTCACATGGCTAAAGCATGATGAATTTGACTCAAGCCGTAAGAAATAAGCTAAGCTCCTTATCCCTCACCATGGTATGTTAGTTAGAGCAGTGAGCACGAATGAAGGCGCACTGTACAGGAGGTCGTAGCTGCAGCTCACGAAGAGGAAATCGAGGGTGTAGCTGCATCGAGCTGCTTCTCATCATGATTGACCAACTTATTTTTTAATAATTATTTATTTTATTTTATTTATTCATTCATTTATTTACTTATTTTAGTTTGACCAGAGAGAGACAGAGGGTGAGAGTGAGAGAGAGAGGAAGTGAGAAAGCAAGCCACCAGATTCAGGACTTGAACCCTGGTCGGCTATGTGGGAGTGTCCAGCACCTGAACCACCATGCCACCTGCTGGTCCCCTACCAACTTATTTTTTTTAATTACAAGCAAAATGAGTTCTTTTTGCCTGTTCAAAGATTCCTGAGCTTCAAATTCTCAGTAAAGTAGGTTACTGCACCTGCCCTGCCAGGCCTTCGCCTGCATCAGGCCAGCCATGAAGTCTCTTGGTTCTTGCTCCAGCCTCTGAGCAGGGAGGGAGGAAAACGACAGAACTCCACTCACTGGCACCCTGACAATCCTGCGTTCTCCAACTCCGCTGGGCCCACCATGCTACGGGCAGTCCTTTTATCTGTCCTCAGCTCGGGTTCAGATTTCTGTACAGCTGTTCCAAGCTGCTGATGTGCTCTACACTCCCCTCACTCTCAGCAGATAACCTCGCTCCGATGTCACAAAGTCAAGTCCCTCTCCATCCCCTCCATCTGCAGACTGACCCACGAGGACACCACCTTCTCCGTCTCCTGCTCCGAAGTCGGAGACGAGTTATCTGGAATCCTAGAAGCCAACCTTCTGTAGAATGTTGGGCACCTTCTCCTGACACCTTCTGGGACCTCACTCCCTCAGCCATTTCCCCTCGGGCTGCGGTGTCGTTCATCCATCGCTCCCTGTATCTGGCTTCTTCTCTTCCGTCTGTGCATTTGCTCAGCGTCTTCCTTATCACCATGCACACACAGAGAGAAACACCGAAACTCAGTTCTTTAATTATTCCAGCCTCCCACTCATGCTGCAAATTGCCTTGTACAGTAATTATCTGTTTACATGACAGTTTTCATCTGGTCCAGTGGTTTTTAATCGTTGTGTCACAGATCCCTTGAGAATCTGATTAAAGCAGTGGACCTTCTCCGTGGAGACATGCGTATACCTTCACTCACCCGCGCACGCGCACACACACTCACACACGCACACACACACGTCCAGTTCTAGGTTGCTCAGTGGCCCCCTGCCGTGTAGGAACTATTACTGCCACTTCTCCGTATTTCTGGTTCTACTCTGTTCCCAGGCACATGGGAGGGTTATGCTTCTTTGCTGGCCTGAGATTATCACTGCCTTGGCCAATGAAAGGCGGGTGGAAGTGACGTGTGTACAAGTCCGAGAGCCGAGCCTGTGTGCAGTTTCCTACCCTTTCTGTTTTTGCACTGTCACCAAAACCACTGAGTTGCAGAAAGCGACCACTCCGTCGGCATGGGTCCTGGACTGAGCAGGATGCAGAGCAGAGCATCGGCCAGCCTGCCAGGGACACGCACAGGTAAGGGAGAAACACACCCAGCTACCCTGCACAGCTGGGACGGGGGCTGCCCTGCTCCCTAGCAGGGCACTCCCCATCGGATACAGAATAGTGTGCGCAGAAGGACCCTTCAAGGGGCCCCAAGCAACCTGCCTTCACCTTCTTAGCCAGCAAGTCCTCCCCCCTCATGCAGGCTCACCTCCTGTTCTCTGCACTAGGAAGACTCTCTCCCCGGTTCTTCCCGATCTCAGTTCCCCGGTGACTTCCGCAGGGACGTCCCGCAGGGCCTCCTTCCTGCCTTTGCTCCAGCCCCAGCTCCTCCTCTCTCCCTTACCCAGTTCTGTCCCCCACAAAGTGCAACCCAGCCCAGATCGGTCTTATTTATTACCCACATCTTCAGTTCAGCATTGACAACACTCAGTCCTCGCTGTCAACAACACATAAACAACCAGTGTCGCATTATGTTCATCTCACAGGAAGTCAAGGCAAAAGCATTCGAAATATGGACTATTTCACTGGTTTACCATAATAAAAGGAGAACCAGGAGCATCCTCCGGTAAGACATACTTTATACTTTTCTAACCTGCATTAAGAAGAGAAACCTCACACTGCAAATATTAAACAGATGTCGAAATACTTGAAAGGGCTTCACGAAGAAGCCACTGGACCTTGGTACTGACCCAGTCACCATTGCTGGGTCAGCTTGACATTTTGGGTTCTTTTCAGATCGTTGCGGCCAATGGCTCTGTCAACCTTTGGTCCCAACCCAGTTAAATAGTAGTTTCTGAAATTTGCTGGCACACAGTTTTTGTTGTGTTTACTTTCTAAAAAAATTTCGTTCCACTTCTGTGCCAAATGATCTCTTTATAGTTACAGCAAGGATTAAGTCTGAAGTGGCTAATCTTCTGTTATGCATCTAGTGGAATATCGGAAAAGTCGTGGTGCATTTTTACACAGAAAACTACGTCATGGCTTTTCTGACAGCCCAATAGGAGTAATACCTCATGACAGAGTACTCACCTTATAAGTGTCCAGTGATTGAATGAGTAAAATCAGTACTGAGATTAACGAATATTTGTCTCTTTTGACTTCACTGTATAACTAATGCCATAAAAGAGAGAAACTACTCTCCTTCAAAGCCAAAGTTTGGCCTTAGCTTCACTGCACACTAAGAAGAAATTGAGGTTGTTTTAAAATTCAGAAATTCATACTTTAGCATCAATATGTAAGTTTTCTATTTTCGTTGTCTTCATAAAACGTGTTAAACAGTAATGGCATTTGATAAGATGTTTAGAAGTTGTGACGCTGTCCTAGTGTCTAACAGATTCAAAAAAATACTTGTTAGAAACCTATGTCTCTTTAGATACTCAATTTCATAAGCGGAAAAGCTTTAGGATCTTCTAATTGAATTAGGATAGGATAAATTTAAGTCTTGATAAGAACAACCAAACGAGGGACCAGCAGATTGCGTAATGGTTATGTCGCTGGACATAGTTGACCATGGTTTGAGTCCCAGACCTGGTGGCTTAAACTCATGCCAGGCACTTGTGCGCGTGTGCCTGAGAGCCCAAGAGGAGAATGGAGAAAAAGGGATTGCGGCGTGGCCATCCCCCCTTGGAGGTGATTTCTCACTTTCTGTCTCTCTGTCTCTTCCTGTCTTTCTGGCGAGCACATGCACCCTATAGCGAACCCCCCCCCCAAAAAAAAAGAACCAAATGAAATTTTTTCAATTGCAAAAGAAATTAGTTTATTTTGGAAGCAAAAGCAAGCTTAGTTCAGTTTGGTTTAGTTTTCATAAACTTTTGTTTTGTTTGAATTTCCTCTATGGCAGTGTGCATTTCAAAATAAAATTGCTTAATGTATGAAACTTACTCTAATACACTGGCTCTTATGCATCATGTGTAATTACCTTGTGACAGCTACATTTTTCTATTCATCATATACAAAAATCCACATGTGCAGCTTACAAATAACATGAATTTTTCTGGATGGGGCTGTTTTGTCTTTTTTAAATTGTTTTCTCCCAATTAGCATTTTTTTTAAGTTTATTTATTTCTTCTATGAGAGAGAGAGGGTATGAGAGGATGAGAGAGACAGGGTCTTCAAGCCACGATCCACCCCAGGCTCAGCCAGCCCTACCAGGACTAGGAAACCTCGGGGCATGAACTCATGACCGTCTCACATGGCTTCACGTGGCCCTCACCCTCACCCATCCCAGCCTCAGCCAGCTCTAGTGGGACTGGGAAACCTCGGGGCATGAACTCATGACCATCTCACATGGCTTCAGCGTTGCAGCATGCGGCATCACAGCTGCACCAGGGTGACTGGCCTGTCTATATTTTAAGAGGCAATTATCTCTTAAATATTTCTGTTAGCCTGTTTTTTTTAATGAATAATCAGATGATGTTAAATGACTATAAAACTGGACATATAAAATCATAGGTGTGGACATGAGTAGGTACGGGATGGAAAGCTTTATAAAAATGTTTTGAGTCCAAAGCAGATCATTTCTTGATTCCTCATCACTACAACAGCCTTGAAATAAAAATTACAAATGATTTTTTCTGTTGTACCAGAGAATGTCCACCAAACACACATAACTTCCACAGAAAGACTTGCTGTAGACATGCAAAGGGGACAGATAATGCTGAATTACGCTATCAAACACTACAGCTGAAGTAGGGCAGGATTGAGGCATGCCTTTAATAATGCTGACTGGGTGTGCTCTTGGCTTTCTGCACGCTCTAAATTGAATGTGCTGAGTCCCAGATTGGAAGGTCCTTTACTACTAAAAATAACACATGTAGATGAAAGTATTTTAGGAGTCATTCCAGCTTAGGAAATCAGTCCATGCCAAAAAGGTCCCCTTGTACAAAAATGGTAACACTTTAATGAATAATGGCTACAAATCATGCCAATTATCCCTCTTGGTTTCATACAAAATTTCATTGTATGAAGTGAAGGAATGCAATACGTCCTCCGCAGGGTTTGCAGACTCCTTGGCTCAGGGTGCCCATGCTTCCTCAGGTTTCTACATGCTTCCCGTCTAATTTGCCAAGGAGCTGGTTTTGAAATAGCACTCTGCGATAGCATTTTAGGGTAACAGAAAGCTTTCTGTTTATTAAAGGAAAAATTATAAGATAAATATCCTCAAAACATTTGGCTCTGCTTTGGGCTTGTTTGGGGATAGTTTGAATGCTGAAATGCTAACAAGATACCCAGTACATGCGAAGGTGGCTAGTAAGCTCTGGAAGCCTTTGATCTTACTAGTTACATTTTATAAGAGAGAAAGAGTTTTATCAATCAACTTAACCATCATCGTTTCATACAGAAGTTGTTTGAGAAGACTGACATATGTGCTCTAAAACCAAAATAATCCTGTTTTCAAAAGTAGGGTACTGGGAGTCCCGTCCACACTACAAACTTTAATACCAGTTCTACTAATGCCATAAACTTAAGGGGAAAAAAGAGAGAGAAAGAAAGTAAAAGAAGATTCTTCCTCATAAAATATGATAGGTCAGAGTTCTCTCTCTCCCTTCCTTTTCAGAAATAAATATCAATTTTACGATTTCCTTGGGCTTTCTATTTCTCCCTGCTTTCGCATCACTGTACTCAGGATCCTACCCCGATCAGTATCTTAATTCAGGAAGCTTTCCTAATTCAGTCTGGAAGGATGAAAGAGGATGAGCATTTGTGGTAGTAGATAGGTACGAATTTAAAGCCAAGCTTCGGCATTTACTGTTGAACGTGGTCAAGGTCATGCTTCTCGGTTTGTTTCTTCATACATAAAATCCAGACACGATCATGCAATGATCTGAGCCCTCTGTTGTCAATGTTTCACTGAAATCATCTTCATTCAGGGCACCAACGCACTCCGAATTTTACAACCTAAATATTTAGTGCTTATCTTATTTGACCTCTTGCAATATTTGAATTTTATCATACAAGATTTGAATATTTTGCCATTTCATAATTCATCAAAATGTTTCCTCCTTTGGTGTCTGGGATTCGCCCTCTGGTGCCATTTTTCTCCCTTCCTGGTGTTCCCTGCCACTGTGGTGGAGACCACTCTCTCTGCCATGAACGGAATGACCTTTGTGCCGTCTCACGCTCAGTTGTCTCACATGTTTTGTCCACTGCCCCTTCTTCCTGCAACTCCAGCCACTTCCTGTGACTCCACCACCCCCTGCAAGTCAAGGAGTGTCCTGTGCAAGCCCCTGTCCTTGCCCCTGCTCCCAGCTCCTGCCTCTCGGACCAGTTCGCTGGGTTGTTCCGGGTGCCAGCCTGGACTTCCACCACTCTGACCCGAGAGGAAAAGCATGCCAGACTTCTTGTCCTCATTCTGCTCTCTCAGGCCAGCAGGCTAGGACAGCTTATTGCTTCTACCACTAAAATAGGTATTTATTTCTCTCATCTCTCTGTTCAGTTCCTTATATGAAGATGAATGGAATAGCCTCTTTTTTTTAAAGGAGTGTAAATGTTATAACAAAGAACATCAGTGACAAATGTTGCCACAAAAATCTCAGTGGCTTGACACAACAAATGTATTCCTCATGTCATAGTCCAGTGCAGGCTGTTGACGAGATCTGCCCCATTCGGGTAACCAGTCACCTAGTGGCCATACCCCCTCCATGACTCAAAGTCACCCAGAAGACCCTATGTCTGCAGGCAGTGAAAGGAGGCAGGATGGAGTTGGGTTATGGGCTTGCCTATGTACAGGGGACAGGGACAGGATACCGGTCTTGAACACTCCCACTCAAGGGCATCATAGGATTTGGGATGCACACTAGGCCACTGTAATTCTGAAATCTCCTTGGTGGGCTTCGAACGTCCCCTGCCCTCGGGAGAGGGTGAGTTACTTGATTAAGCTTTAGTTCTGCTCTCTGAGAATGTCGTTTGTCCTTTTTCTCCTTGCCCCTCAGCTCTTCCCTTTAGCAGTTCTTATGGATGACTTCCTTTGGCCCCAACTGAAAGGACTTCAGGCAAATGTTAGAAGCCCAACAGGTGGTATGCCTGCTAAGCAGCTGAAGGGGTTTCGTCTGATACTTTGGGTTTTAAAAAATATATTTATTAAATTTTATTTCTTTATTATTATTATTTAATCTAACCAGAGAGACAGAGAGAGGGAAAGTGAGAAAGCAGCAGGCCAGGTCCAGGACTCAAATCGTAGACAGCCATGTGGGAGTCCAGCTCCCTTGCTTTGGGCTTGTTTGGGGATAGTTTGAATGCTGAAATGCTAACAAGATACCCAGTACATGCGAAGGTGGCTAGTAAGCTCTGGAAGCCTTTGATCTTACTAGTTACATTTTATAAGAGAGAAAGAGTTTTATCAATCAACTTAACCATCATCGTTTCATACAGAAGTTGTTTGAGAAGACTGACATATGTGCTCTAAAACCAAAATAATCCTGTTTTCAAAAGTAGGGTACTGGGAGTCCCGTCCACACTACAAACTTTAATACCAGTTCTACTAATGCCATAAACTTAAGGGGAAAAAAGAGAGAGAAAGAAAGTAAAAGAAGATTCTTCCTCATAAAATATGATAGGTCAGAGTTC